TTACTTTACTAGTTACTTGAAAAAAGTAATCTGATTACGTAACTTGCGTTACTTGTAATGCGTTACCCCCAACACTGTTCCTGAACTCTATTCTAGAGAGTTTATGGCCAGAATGGCCAATTCATTTCACTTTTGGTGTGAAACGACTTTTATATTTGCCAAAAATATAACTTTTTATATTAAAAACAACCAAGCAAGCCCAGTCCAGATGAAGAAAAAGTAGCGCAAAAGTAACGTAACGCATTACTTTCCATAAAAAGTAACTAAGACAATTAGTTACTTATTTAGGGAGTAACGCAATACTGTACTGCATTACTTTTAAAAAGTAACTTTCCCCAACACAGTTTGCAGCCGACTAGAATTGTGAAGCACTGAGCTTATGTTAAGACAAATGGGGGAAAAACACATTATTGCATTACATTCATCATAGATAGATAGATAGATCTAAACGCAAGGTGTGTGTGAACAGCCAGCGCGCATCTTACCTGTACAGGTGTTTGTTGTACCGGGAAGACTTCGGTTTCTACGACAGGAACGGCTTCTTCACTTTTCTTTTCAATGATCACCTCCTCCTGTACTGGAGCTGGAGCTGGAGCTGATTGCTCTACTCTGGGCTGGCGATATTCAGCAACCCGCTCTGATCTCTCCTCGTGATGTTTCTGTTTCTGTTCTTTCTTTTGCGCAGGTTTCTTCGCCAGGAGCGCCGATGCAACTATAATGGCAATAATCGTAAAGAAAAGTGCGGACAAAATAACGGGCGCGTCTATAGTCATGACTGCCTGCTGTTGTCCGTGGAGTTTGGATGGAAATGTAGGTTTGAAAGGCTGATGGTTGTTGTGGCATGCGAGAGCAGACGCCTGTAACACGCGGAGTGAGCGCCTCAGCTCGTACTGTTAGATCGCATAAAGCCCACGTGCCAGAGACGCTTTCTGAAATGGCTGTGTGTTAAAACCTAGTCGGCTGCCTACAAAGACAGCAGTTCAGGGGCGTACTATGACGCGCATCTGAGTTCCAAAAGAAGAACGATCAAGAACGCTTAAAATAATAGCCTATGTATTTGTAACATTTCAAGAAATGTATCTTGTTTAATAAACAACATCTAAATTGTGAATAGCTCAAATGCATGAATCATAACCCAGCAGGCGCCTGGATATCAATTTTGACTAACATATTAGTCAAGACTTGATCAAGATGCTGTAACATCATTTTAAATTCCGTTTGGATGGCAATTTCTTCCAGTGGTAATTGGGTGAAAATAGGAAGTAAATCTCACACTGAAATTGGTTTAATGTATATGTAAGCCAATGTGTTTAACGTTCAATTTACATCAAATCAAAGTCATGTCAAGTTTTTGACGTCATTTTGATTTGCTTATTTGACCTCTTTTTTTTTAGGTCAATTTTTATGTCAATTTAATGTCTTTTCAACATCAATTGCCCACTGGGAGAACAAATAAAAAATATAGCTGGAAGCAGCGATGGCGGGCCCAAGCCATCAGTGCAAACACCACCCCGGTGGCATCAGGAGAACTGTGCCCAGCGGGCACATGCATTTACAGTAACCCTCCGGCAGTCTGGTGTATAAGCCAGCCATCTATTTTTGTGAGCTCATCTAATGTGAGGATTGTTTATACCTTGTAAAGCATTTACAAAGGAGATTTAAAAGCTCATTAATCTTCCAAACAGAAAAGTTAATCAAACTAGATATGCTTATAAATCAAGAACAAGGCATTTATAGCTGTATTTATAAACTGCTTACTAATGACTATTAATGTTGGGACAATGCTTTAGAAAGGATGAACTGACTATTTACTAATGCTTACCTAATGATTCATAGTGTGCAGTTATTACAAAGTGTTACCAAATTATGTTGTCAGTGTCCTACAAATTAAGTGGTATTAGGATTTTTTTGTCCCTAAAACTGACAGAAAAGGATAAGGCTTAAGAGATTTCTTAAGCTGTAATGGAAAAAAAAAACCAACAACAAAAAATTACTGATTATTTATGTTTATTAATTAATAAGTGATTAAAGAGATGTTTAAAAGTCTCTCTCTCTCTCTCTCTCTCTCTCTCTCTCACCCACCGCTTCACACACCCCCACTTTTTTATCTGTTAACATTAGATAATGCACTGTGAATTAACATGAACATTTTGATTAACTAACATCAACAAACATTAATAAATGCTGAGAAAATATATTGTTCATTGTTAGTTCATGTTAGTAAATGCATTTACTAATGTTAACAAATGAGACCTTATTTTAAAGTGTTACCAAAACCTTTAATGATTTATAAGCATTTTTTAACTATTTTATTTATCTATAATATTTGTGAAATATTTTTGCCTTCATTACAGCTTAGTCTTCATCTGTGAGCTGAACTGTTGGAAAAAAAACAACAACTTTGTTATTTTTTTCCTGGTGAATAAAAAGATGTTTAAAAGTCTCTCTCTCTCTCTCTCTCACCCTCCCCTTCTCTCACTCCCACTCTCAACACACACACACTCACCCAGGCCCCACCTCACCCTCTTCATCACACAAGGGGCAGAGTGGCAGAGTGAGATCAGATGTCTTATAGTTTTTTAATTTTCTGTTATCCATAGAGCGTTGTAAAGTCGTGCAATTACGATAAGAATATTCAAGTTTGACACGTTGTCATGGCAAAAATATTTCAGATATCAATATCCCCTCACCAGTTTTACATCGGCCGTGTTTTGTCATTATTCTTAAGAAGTTTGAAGCAAATCGGGTAAAAATAAGATGCTGAATTAAAAGTATTTTGAAAATGACACACTTCCTGCCGCCAGTTGGTGGCGCTATATCTTTGACTCCTAATAGTCACATATATGCGATCAGCATCATACAATGAACAAATCCCTGAAGTTTGATCAAAATCAGACAATGTATGTGGATGCTATTAGACACTTCCTGTTTCTCATTTCTCGCCATAACTTCACCGCCTCGCCACGGGCAAACCGTTCGAGATATCAAAAATCCCTTGGCAATATAGCATCCCCAATCTCTTGAGATCATGTGCACCGAGTTTGGCGGTAATCTATTTGAAATCCTCAGAGGAGTATATCAAATTCCAGAGCATGCGCTTTTTACACAGCCCTGAATAGCCAACTTCCTGTTGGGTGGAGCCTATGACATGCAGCGTCAAAGTTGTTCGGATCAATGAGATCTATATGTGTACCAAGTTTCATATGAATATGTACAAGCATGTGTGAGCTATACATCAAGTTTTCAGACTGCCTTCCAGGTGGCGCTGTAGAGTCCCTGTGCCACGCCCGCGTCCCAGCCTCTGCGGCGTCCTAATGACCGCAGATTCCAACGTGTGTGCAAATATTCAAGAGTTTTTGAGCATGTTAAGGCCCCCAAAAAGCCCCGGATATTCGAAAGAAAAAGAAAAATAATAATAATCCTTAGAAAAACAATAGGCCCCTGCGCCTTAGCGGCTTGGGCCCTAATAAATGGGCATCAAACTTGCGTTCCAAACGCAACTACTAAGGATTCTAAAAATGCTGCTTCTTGTTGTTACCCATAAATGCTAGTTAGGCAGGTTATTAGGTTTTGAGACACAAGACTCTTTTGCAAAACTTGATTTTCTTTTGCAAAACTTTATTATTTTGCATATATATGTGGCATTATATTGACTCCATAACAGCCCACCTTATTAAAGCAGCACTGACCGAACAGGCGCAAAAGATGTTTTGAAAATGCACAAATATGATTACAGTGATGGAACAATATACATCACTACTAAACTTACACTACTGCATCTTTTAGAAATATATAGAATTTTATCAGACTATGCAGTACATAATCCTTGTTTTTTTTATGCAGAATGGTTAGATTTTTAATAGATACCGGTGCTGACATTTAGGTTGCAATAGTTGCAACTGCATTTAAACCTCAACTTTATCCAAAACTAACATTGACCTGATGCATACATGAACAATCCTCTATTTTCTTACAAACAAGAATGTTATTCTGCAATGACTGTCACTGCTCTTTTAACTTAGTTTGGTTATAAAAGTTTTTAAATTACGCATACAATTATTTAAAATATCCTTGTGAAAGCTGCATCGTTTAATGTTATACGCTGAGTTTAATGGAAGTTACCACAAAAACATTTGAATAACCTAGAGATTGTTTTTCTTCAATCCTATTGTATTGCAAAATATTCTACCTCTATAAAAGATTTGGAATAAGAGACATTCCACTTGTATTTGGTGCGTCACCCCTTTTAAACTGATCTTGTCATAAATAACCACAATGACGTATAAAGAGGAATTATGGCATGCAATGCTCAATAATAATCAGCCACGGTGATTTGAATGTAACGTCACACTCTGAACGGTTAAATATGCCCAGTGGACAACATGCAAATGCAGGACAAAGACACTGCACCAAGATAAATACATAGAAACCTTTATTAAACAATTATTAATTGTGTTTTGATCTGAGCAACATCAAGGTGTCACATGACCAAGCCAGTGCTGAATATGGAACATGAGGAGCTTAAGTAAGAACATACCCTATAGAGAAAACACAAAAGATCTGGAGCGATGAGAATGGGAGGCTTCCTCTAAGAGTACAGGCCATTCATTAAAACATTAGTATTTGCAATTCAAAACCACAGCTCTGAGAAATGATATGAGAATGTGAAATATGAGCACTCAAAGCAACTTGAATGACCAACATCAGGTAAAAAATAGGCACTTTTTAACCACATCTTTCTCCTTGACGTGTTATAGACGATTACGGTCGTACACGAAAACAGCACCCAAACACCTCAACAATACTCACTTTGATCATTAAGCACCCATCACAACATGAAGTCTACACTCTAAAAAATGCTGGGTTAAATATAACCCAACCGCTGGGTCAAAACAACCCAATAGCTGAGTTTGTCCCTTTTTAACCCAGCATTTTTTAGAGTGTATTATTATAGCCCTGAAACATTTCGGTCATGACAGATTACCATTTTTGGAGTTAAGCTATTTCCTTCTGTTAAAAAAAGAATTCAAAACATACAAAACCATTTTAAGACATTATAGGCTAGTCACTTTTTCCATTCTGAACAGGAAATGCAGATTTTCATGATTGCACGCTTTTCCCCCTCTTTTGCATGGCTCATTGTGCACTGTATAATAAATAAACACTAGCGCCTCCTAGTGTTTCCCTTATGCAGAAGGGTTCTAAAAGAAAAACACCTCGTATTTCATTCGATTGAGCTAATTTAACTATTGAATTCAACTGCTAATAGACTCGAAGTCGAGTGCTTAATCAGTTTAAACGTTCCGGACATTTTGCGCATTCACAGTAGTTCCAACCGAAGAAAGGTGCGTTTAAACTTTTGGCTGAACTACAATGTTATTTAGGTAATATGCACATGCCCCGCACATGACATACGGACAAAATTAATTTATCATGGCCATGAATTAAAAACTCACTCCCATGACTTATTTAGGTCCCTCATTTTAGTAAACTATGGCATACATTGTACTAAAATGAGGTTACGAATTAATACAACGTAGCCAACATTTACTAAAATGAGGGAACTAATTCATAGGCTATCAGAAGGAATTGCTAATTCGTGCATTTGTAGGACTTCGTAAAGGGCTTCTAATTGAAAGTTTAGTCTTGCCTATCTAAAATACTGCGACTTAATGATTTTGTGAGAAAAGGGACCACAGATCACAGCTGTTTAACAGTTTTAAGTACTATGGGCTAATTTTCTGCTAACTCGGAGACAAGAAACCCATGTTTAAGTGCAGTTCGAGAATAATGTAGAATTGGTAATAAAATACTCTATTTTCTAGGATCAAAGAGCTAAAGGCAACATTATACATGAGGTCAAACCGTATTACCTCAGAGGGGTCGTGAAACATTTCACACGTATATCTGCGCATAACCTCAGTGAAATATAAAAACGACATGTGTTTGACTCAAACGCAGATTAATGACGTTGGCGAGACGTCAAGCTTCCTGTCCAGAGCCTGACATCAGACAAGGCAACACAGGAAGGGGTTTCCCTTCTCTCCCACTCACTCATTCATGCAACGCTCCTCCGGCAAGCACACATTTGGATATTTGGCTCTAAAAGCGCACTAGGGCTGAGTTTGTTATCAGACGTGACACAGCGGCGATCTCGTATCTAATGGACAGGAGTCTCCTGAGGGTGACAGACAGAGAGAGTGCGACATTTCATGGTCTAGGAGACGATTATGGCCGCAGCCCCTCTGTTGTCGAGCGGCACGTCACCGAGACGAACTACGCTCTTTGCTCACGCAGTCGTCCTGGCTTGTGATGTCACCGTTCCCCATCATGCCACAGGTTCTCCTCTTCTTTCTGCGATGGGTCATGGCGTCGCCCTCAGAGCCCGAGTCAGCCTTCAGGAAAAAGGACAAAAATGCAGTTACAGAGAAAGTAAAAATCTGTCAATAACATAACTATTGGGTGATATTTCTTGCATTAAACAGGTGTTGTGAATTTCTCATTTTGATTGAAATGATGGTTCCTCTGATTTGGAGTGAAACGTTTGTATAAAAATAAATGGATTACATGCATATTACTAGGGCTGCACAATTAATCGAATTTCTCATCGCGATTACAATTACGGACGCCACAGTTACGTAATCATTCAAAGCGGCAATTAATCGTTCAAAGTCCACTTATGTTATTCTGCACGCTTAAGATGCGTTTTTTTCTTTCTACATGTTATCTTAAGGGTTTTTCCATTGTTTTAGTTTTAGTATAACATTATAATACCATTAATATTTTTACTTTTTTATCATTTAAAGAAGAAACCAATCCGATGTATAGTTGACATTTGAGGCTTAATACTATAGAACAGCACTAAAGGTTTTTCAGTTAAGAGTGTTTTCAGTTTGTTTATTTTCACATAAAAATACGGCATGCCGTTGCATCAAACAATGCTATAAACATCATTCGATGTAAATTGTGATAATCGTAATTAATAATCGCAATTACAATTTCAAGGAAATAATCGACAATTATGATTTTCGTGCAGCCCTACATATTACTGCAGGACAGAAAGGGATCGAGAATATCCATAATCCATTGTCATTAAAATTAGTGATCAATTAATAGATTAAACATTAATAGAGCAATTGCACATGTGTCCACTGTATTTTATTACACTACTGTTCAAAATTTGGGGTCGGTAAGATTTTTAAATGCTTTTATCAAAGTAACCTCTTATGCTCACCAAGGCTGCATTATTTGATAAACAGTAATATTGTGAAATATTATTACCATTTAAAATAGCAGTTTTCTATATGAATATATTTTTAAATGTAATTTGGTAAAGCTGAATATTCAGCATCCTTACATGATTCTAATACGCAGCTCAATTATTAATAATTGTTCTTATTATCATCAATGTTGAAAACACTTTTTAAGGTGTCCTTGCAGAATCAAACTATCAATTAAAATGACTTAATGAGTGTACATTCAGGCTGTTTAATATGTATTTATTACAGTTAATAACGTATGTTATAGAAATATGTACAGAAAATACAGATATGACTCCATTAAAAGTTTACTTTGAGGATTGTGAATAATTTCTGACATTTGAATATGAATTTAAATCAAACAGTAACCGGGGATAATACACTGTACTGTTCGATGTGAATTCATAGCGCCCTCTAGTTTCTGTTGACTGTATAACCAGTGTTTTCACCATCTGCTCACAAGGTTACTGAATGCCAGAATGGTAAAAAAATAAAAAGCTTAATAGAGATTTTTTTTTAGCTATACTGCCTAGGCCTAGTTACATGTAGAATTTGTCAGTCAGTGAGCATGTGTATCACACCATCAATCTGAGCAGCTCATGTCCGGACTCTAGTGTGAGAGTTTGTGTTTGGGGTTCTGGAGGAACAAAATGTACCTCTGAATCAGTCTCGGAGGAGCTGGAGGAGGAAGAGGACGACGAGTCACTGGAGCTGTCCGAGGCGATGCCTGTTGATTCCTGCAGATCGACTTTATCTGCCAAAGCAGCAATATCAGGCCTCTCCTGCTTCAGGATCCTGAGACACACATGAGAAACATCACCACGAATCCATTTAAATAATCAAAATACTAATTCCGTACTAAATTGGAACATACTTTCACACTTTCAGCTTGATTGAACATGACGCGCAATACTATCGTTTTTCTTAAATTACTATCGTCTCATTTCTTAATATTTTCACTGACTTTTATATTGGCATGTACTGTATATGCATGTATATATTGATTCCACCAAATCAGCTTATCTTCATTTTGAGTGAAAATGTATGAATGCATATTTGTCATTTCAGCTGAACTTAGGTCTGGTGGTGGTGCTTGAGACATTGTTGGTCATTCAGTAAAAAAACTAACAATAATACTGACCATATAATAATACGGCGAGTCAGGCTCCTTCACAGTTCACACTAGAGTTTACGGTGCGGCAAATATGCTGCACATCCATTGAAATGAATTGGAATAGTGCGCTTTAAATACAGAGCGCGAAACTTTCAAGCATGCGGTGTTCAAAATGAGTGAAGGCGAGTGAAATCTAACAATTTATTAGCCAATGGCTAACGATAGACATTATTTGCTCACCTAGCATGGAAATTTAGTTGCATATGCGAGTCATTTACTCACATTGTAGAGGGTTGGGCAACTTAAAACACTAAGTTTTGACACTTTATTAGTGGAAAAATGGTTTGTTGTTGAGCAAATGAACAAGGCCCATTTGCAAAGCAGAAAAAATATAAACATCTTTAATAAAAAAGTAACTTAAGTGAGTGAAATGGAAGAAATCGGTGCAAAGTCATCAGACAGAGCAGGGTCTTACCGGTACCACTTTCTGGAGAGTTTGGGGCGACCTCGCACAGTCTTGTGCCACACAATGGGGAAGTTGGTGGTGCTTGCAAAATTCTGGGTCATAGCAATAGTCGTGTCCAGATTGAGAACAACATGCCACCATCCACCTACAGAAAACACAAAACATGGGTTTCAACCCCAATTCCAATCACGGCTGCATGATTGGGTACACAAAAATATATTATTTTGACAAACGTGTGGATTTGAACTGCATTATTTTTCATCATTTTGCATCTCTACTGTTGCTTAGATATAATCAACTTAAAGGAACACTCCACTTTTTTTGAAAATAGGCTCATTTTCCAACTCCCCTGGAGTTAAACAGTTGAGTTTTACCGTTTTCGAATCCATTCAGCCGATCTCCGGGTCTGGCGGTAGCACTTTTAGCTTAGCTTAGCATAGATCACTGAATCTGATTAGACCGTTAGCATCTCGCTCAAAAATGACCAAAGAGTTTCGATATTTTTCCTATTTAAAACTTGACTCTTCTGTAGTTACACCGTGTACTAAGACCGACGGAAAATAAAAAGTTGCGATTTTCTGGCTATGGCTAGGAACTATACTCTCATTCCCGGCGAAAGGCTAAATAGGCTAAATCCGTCAACATAACCAACGTGACCACCTGCTTGCACAGGGAGCATGCTGGGCACTATTTTCAGGCGCTGAGAATTGTATAATATAATACATTTCTGACATAATCTACACTGGGCTCGTATGATAAAACGCTGTTTCTCAAAAATGGCCAAGGACAAAATAGATGGCATTTTAATACATTACTATGAACAATAAAGTCAAGTCTGTATCTGTCAGATGGTTTTTGTTTTGTTCAGATGGGATGATGGGGTGTGATTGACCCAAGTGCTCTTTTGTTTTGCATTTTCATCTATCTTTCATTATGAATATAGGTCTTAAGAGCAGAAGGCTTCTACACTTCACCCGCTTTCATACTGATACTTTCTGTTTTGCACTTAACCGAGCAGCTAAATTGCACTCAGATGGTGCTTTGTAATGGCAACATCTATTTAAAGTCAATAAATGAGACTAACAAAGCCTGAACTGCCATGGGTTCCTTTCTAGTCTGATAAATACCATGTGGTATGAAGCTTGAATGCCATGTGGTTTAAAGTTATGTATAGGCATTGCTCAGCACTTCAGTACTGAGGCTGCAGTTTAACTCATGATAAACTCATAATATAACTGATAATCCATGTCAGCACAAAATGATGGAACATGATTAACAATAACGTCAATAAAACATTGAAACTATCTGGTTACATACACATTCTTGCAAGTATAAAAATTAAGCATCAATGCCAGATAGTCATTCTGTCTTGTGAATTTTCTATCATTAACTCTTTCCCCGCCATTGACGTAATTTTCCAGATTTCTGTGTTTTCACTGGTGTACGGTAAGAGGCGCTATTATGCATCTTCTGAAGGAGTACTGAACGTCTCGATCAAAACACGACAAAGAAGCAGAAACAAGCAATCGCGCATATATAAGCAGATGCATAAGTAAAATAAAGAACATTAATCATTATATAAATCAAAACTGCCTAATGTTATAGAATGAAATGTCGATCCAGGAAGCGGTATAGGACCATGCAAGCTTTGGATGTGTTGATGGAAGTGATTTGTTTTGATCATCGTTCTGAATCTGATCCAGACATAGTCTTTTACTAAAAATGCGATTTTCTCAGCTTTTTGTTCAAATGCTAGCGGTGGCTGGCAACTTAAAAAAAAAACGCTGGCAGGGTAAGATTTAAAGGGGTCATATGATGCGATTTCAAGTTTTCCTTTCTCTTTGGAGTGTTACAAGCTGTTCGTGAATAGATAAGATCCCTAAAGTTGCAAAGACTAAAGTCTCAAACCCAAAGAGATATTCTTTATAAAAGTTAAGACTCGTCCACGCCCTCCTAAAACGCCTCGTTTAAACACGCCCTCACTACGCCCGCTGTAGTATTGTTGTTGCCGCCGCGTCGTGTCTAGTAGGAGTTTTTGGTAAACTGCATGTCAGCTCAGTGCAGTAACTGACCGGGCACAAACACAGTCTCTCCAGGATGCTGAAGAACCTCCAGCGGTCTGAACTCGGCTGGCCAGGTGAGCTGCTGTGTGCGGGGATAGATGACGCTGAACCAGGTGATGGCCTCGTCCTGCTGGTTCCCCCCATCCTCTCGTGTCACCTTGATGAGCTCACGAGGTGTGTGGGTGGGGAACAGGCACCAGCGTTTGTGGCCCTGCACCAGAGCATTCCACGCACTCGTGCCGAGCGGGTCAATGTGGATGCCTGTTCCAGAGCGGGCAGGACCCATCACAAACCACCTACATGAACAGGACAAAATAGCCTGAATGGACTAAACTCTTTTAAAAACATAATGCTTACAAAATCCTTATAAACATATATTTTCTATAAATCATTATAAAACTACAAATTCAGATTGTTTTTTCTTTTTCAACAAATGTAATAAATAAGAAAAAAAGAATATTACATTGAATTCCCTCTTTGGGGAAATCAATCAACTTTATCTAATTATATTATATCATGTTTTTCCCCTTTTGTAAAAAGTAAAAAAAAATAAGTTAAATGTTTTAAATTATATTATACTGAATAATATCATAATAATGTAAATAAATAATGTAATTAATATTCAACAAATGTGACCCTGGACCACAAAACCAGTCATAAGGGTCAATTTTTT